CCACCGCGACAGCAGCAGCAGCAGCAGCAGGAGCTCGAGGAGGCGCGGAAGATGGAGGGTCTGCAGTGCAGCAAGGGCGCGTCGGGAGTGTGCGGGGGCGAGCTGGGCTTCAGCAGCAGCAGCAGCAGCAGCAGCAGCAGCAGACCGCCTGGAGGGCCTTGTTGGCCTCGACTCTTCTGCGGATTTCCGCGTTGAGGGTCTTCTCCAGCTTGGCAATGGCCTCTTTGATGGCCAGCAGCTTTCCCTCTTCGCTTTCGCGGCGCTGCTTCGCCTCGGACTCCATTTGGCGTTCGAAGCCGCAGATGCGCTCCGACAGCACCGCCAGCTTCGACTTCGTGCTGCTGCTGCTGCTGCTGCTGCTGCTGCTGCTGAAGCCCAGCTCGCCCCCGCACACTCCCGACGCGCCCTTGCTGCACTGCAGACCCTCCATCTTCCGCGCCTCCTCGAGCTCCTGCTGCTGCTGCTGCTGCTGTCGCGGTGGCTGCTGCTGCTGCTGCTGGCTGCTGCTGCTGCTGCTGCTGTCGCGGTGGCTGCTGCTGCTGCTGGTGGCTGCTGCTGCTGCTGTCGCGGTGGCTGCTGCTGCTGCTGCTGCTGCTGCTGCTGTTCGGGGGGTTGGTGGGGCTGCTTGGGAGCCGTGCTTGGGGGCGGCGCGGAGAGCTGGGTGGCGGCAGCAGCAGCAGCAGCGGATGCAGCAAGGGCTGCGACCGTGAGGAGCAGCAGCAGCTGCTGCTGCCGCTGCTGTTGTTCTTGCTGCTGCTGCTGCTGAAAAGCCGTGGCCCCGCACTGCAACGCAGAGGCCGCGCAAGGCCCCGCTGCGCTGACCTGCCGCGGGACTGCTCCCCAGACAAAACCCTACGCCTTAAACCCTAAACCCTAAACCCTAAACCCTAAACCCTAGGAAATAGCTTAACAGGCCCAATAAATAAGAAGAGGTGGGGGCTCGAAAGGCAGCAGAGACAGACGAAAAACACTGCCGGCGAACGCCGCCGTCGGCGGTGGTTCAGTACACGACGGGCTTCTGCTGCTGCTGCTGCTGCTGCTGCTGCTGCTGCTGCTGTGGTTGAAAATTGAAAGGCTTAAAATAAAGAGACGATAGTTCAGGTGTATGTACACCTCAGACAAGAGAAACCTGCTGCCTAGTTGCTGGAGGCCGGGAAGGGCCCATGGCGCTGCTGAGGGCCTCGAGCTGTGTGTGGGCGCGGCTACTGCTGCTGCTGCTGCTGCTGCTGCGGCAGCAAAAACTACTGGTTTTGTTTTTAAATAAAGAGAAAAAATGAGAAAGAAGCAAACAAGTTAAATAGATGAATTTCGCGCTGATGCCGGGGGCTGCTGCTGCTCTTCGGTTACACTGAATTGCTGCTGCTGCTGCTGCGACCAACACTCCCCGCTGCGGCTGCGGCTGCTGCTGCTGCTGCTGCTACGTACACAAAGAAGCAATTTAAACAATCATCTTTCTTTATTCAGAACAGAAAGAGAAGGCCCTTGTGTGCTGCTGACTCAGAAGATCTGCTGCTGTAGCGGCGCTGCTTCTGGTGCAGCAGCAGCAGCAGCAGCAGCAGCTGGTACACGGCTGCTGCCGCTGCTGCTGCTGCAGCTGCTGCTAGACAAACGGCTGCTGCTGCATGCAAATCAAACCTCCAAATAAATAAAAAAGATCAGTTTTGTCTCACAGCTAGTGATATCCGGCGGGTAAGTACTCACGTTTGCTGCAGCAGCTGCTGCTGTTGGTGCTGCTGCTTCCGCTGCCGCCGACAGCAGCTGCAGCAGCAGCGGGGCTCTGCCTCACCCAGAGAGGGCAACAAGCTGCTGCTTCTCCCCTGCTGCTCTTGCTGCTGCTGCTGCTGATGCATGCAAATAAAAGTGGTTATTTAAAATAAACCTTTCGAAGCAAAAAGAACTCCTGGGGCCGCAGCCTCAGAGAGTGACCTGCTGCTGCTGGCTCTGTGTGCACAAGAGCAATTCCTTAACTAGGATTGGGACTTTTGCAATTAAAACAAAATATATTTTTAAATTTAAAACAAAACATTTATTTTAATTCTTTAATAACTCTAATCTGAGCCAGAGTCGCTCGAATGGCAACAACACAAACAAAGACATTATCACTTCGTTGTCTACAACTTTGTCTTCTTTATTTAAGTCCAATCTACTTCTTCATATTTAATTATTTAAATCTATTTCCACATCTTTGTCTTTTTGTAAATCTTTTTCTTTTTGTCTTCATCTAAATTTATCTCTGCGCCTTTATCCATATCTATAACTTCATATATCCATATATCTATACCTATAACTGTATATATATATATATACAGGTATATATATTTCATATATATATATATACATATATCTGTATTATATATATATATATCTATATTATATATATATCAGTAACTATATATAGATATTATATATATATATCTATAACTATACTTATATATATGTACATATGTATATATATATATCTCTATCTATACACATAGATATACACACATATATATATATACAGATACATTTTTCTCTTCATTTTAGTTTATTAATACTTTTATATGGGTGCATAAAAATATATTTGCATTTAATATTTAAATTCAACATTTACAAATTTAATTTAACAATTCAACAAATCCAAGTGTACATACTTTTAAATGCGCACTTAAATCCACACTTGCATTTAAAAAATAAAATATGTTTCTTCATCTTTAACTCCATAAATGCATTTAAATTTAAAATCTACTTTTTCATCTTTAAGACAAAAAGTTTAATTCTAAATTTGCATTTTATCACATTTCCTCTTCGCTCCAAATTTGTAAAATTCAAAAAGTCCATTTTAGGGCTTCTTCGTTCTTTTCGGTCCAAATAGTTTTTTAATTTAAATATTCTTTCACGCAAATATATATGTATATACATAATATTGTTAGCATCAATATGTAATATATATATATACATTTAATATATATGTATTGTAAATATATACATACATATATATATCAGCAGCATATATAGAGTATGTATACTGTCACTCCATATATAAAATATATATTAGCATCAAAATATGGAATATATTTATATATATTCTATATATATATATATGTACATACATACATAGAACATATATATCTATTCTATATAAATAAATACTTATATAAATATATACATATATGTATATATATAAATCTATATATATATATATAAATATATATATATATATAAATATATATATATATATATATGTATATATATGTGTGTGTGTGTGTGTGTGTGTTTGTTTGTATACAAACATATGCCCTTGTGTACGTACAGCTGTGAATATACAAACAAATAAACAAGAGAACAAATATGCCAAGATGCAAATATATAAACACATAAATATACATTTATATATAAATCTTTACATGAATAAGTATTATAAATATTATAAACATTATAAATATTATAAATATAAATATTGTAAATATTATAAAATTTTAAAGACGCCAGTGTATGTACACTGAAGCAGAGTGCAGACCCAGATAGAGAAACAAATTCTCTTTATGAATTTTCGTTTTCAAATTTAAATGCAATTCAATTATAAATGTAAGTTTGTAATTAGTAAAAGTATAAAGTTTAATTATAAATGTAAACTTCTAGTAAATACATTTATAAACCCACATGTACATATATGCTCTTACGTATGGAGAGAACTGCTGCTGAGGGCCTCCCGATTTGCTGCCCTTATCTATTTTCGTCTGTCTTGCTGTTCTATCAAGTGCTGCTGCCGCTGCTGCTGCTGCTGCTGCTGCAGCTGCTGCTGCAGCAGCTGTGGCTGCGCTAGTGGACCAGTGGTCTGCGTTCTGACCCCACAAGTGGCAAATTAAAACAAATTAAGACGAGATCCACGCATTGGCCCACTTAGGGGCCCCCAATGGGCCCCAAGAGGGGCCCCTAAGTGGGCCCCAAGAAGAGCCCCCAAAGAGGGGCCTCTTAGGGCCTTTGGGCCCTTTTCGGGGCCCCAATGGGGGCCCCAAAGAGGCCCCAGAGGCCCCTTAAGGGCCCCCAAGAGGGGCCCCAATGGGGGCCCCAAGAGGGGCCCCCAGAAGGGCTTGTGAAGTGGGGCCCCCCTGTGCGCGATCTCCTTAAAGGCCCCCCCACAGGGGCCCCATTGTGGGGGCCCCTCCAAGGGGCCCCCCTGAGAGGGCCCTTTAGGGTTTAGGGCCCCCTGAGGGGCCCGCCTGGGGGGCCCTTTTGGGTCATTTCCTCGCTTGCTGCAGCAGGGTACTGCAGTGTCTGTACACCTCAAATACTCTAAAAGGCGCCAGCACGGCTCTCGGCCCTTCGTGCCTTTTTGATGCTTTTTGCTGATGC